ATAAATATCAGTGTGTCTGCAGTAAACAGCTGAGCGATACAGGAATCTTTGTTGAAACTGAAATAAAAATACAATAAATTAATTAAAACTTGTGTTGTATTTTGCGATATAATGTATCTCTTATTATGCAGGGAAACTTATTGATGTCTGCGGTAAATAACAATAGCCCCAATAATATATATTTGCTAAAACCCAAGTACAACATTTATTTCTTATTTTATATAATGTGCATATACATCAAGAATGGTACATTTCGCTCAAAATTAAGGAGGGTGGGTTAGGTAAAAATATTTCGGTCAACCTATTAGTGAGAATAGTGTTCAACAAATATTGAAAAGGTTCCAAAAAATATAATCACTGCTTTGTGAAACCGACTTCCAAGAGGAAACTTCCCTGATCACTACAATCTTACAAGTCTAGGGTTAACCGTTACGTTCCACACATATCCACATAAACTGTGCCTATTACTCTGTAACACTCTACCTCAAGTGGCTCTTAGACCTTGTACAGAGAGAACATCATTGTAAAAAAAACGTCTTTCGATATATAATGCATAGTATGATATTATTAGGTGTGAGAATTTCTTCTCACACGGTTTAACCCCGGCAGAGACAAGAAAAGACATACAATTCAAACAAAGCCTACCTTAAAATTCAATACAAATTTTATTTCGTCTTTGCAAAAAAGATTATGCCCTTTTGCGCCCCTGTGAATAGGGTGGGGTAGTTACTTCAAAGAAGTGGTAGTATTTTTCTTCTCTGTAGGACTCAACTGCAGATTCAAAGAAGCAGGAACTTGACGTTCGTCGAACAGGAGCATTACCAATTTGGTTGCTGAAATAAAAAAAACTCGGCTATTTGTCGAGAGCATGCAGAAAGGTTTTTCATGCAAAAGTACATAATGTGACGATAGTCAATAAACCGACTGAATTATTCAGCCTTAAAAAAGTCTCTAGAATATGAGACAAGAAGAATAATTGCCTAGTCATTTAGGCTTAATTTTGGGCGCTAAAGACCCTGCAATATGAGAGAAATGTGAGTCCTATCATCTCGAAGATTTTGCAGCAACTGAAAAAAAAGGCACGTGCCGTTGAAAATGCCCGCGAAAGACAAAGGAAAAATCCAACCAATGAGCTTGGTCGGTACAAAAATACGGTGTGGCATAAATTAGCCAATAGGAGCTTAGCTTTAATTGCAGAATTTCTCACATAGGAAATTGCGTATTATAAAACAGACAAAAGTAGTACAGTGTAACCCGGATATAAGAGACCAGGATATAAGAGAAACCCGGATATAAGAGAGATTATCTTTGGTCCCAAATTAGAGCCCGTGTTAATGTATATAAAATAGACCAAACCCGGATATAAGAGAAACCCGGATATAAGAGACTTCTCCGGTCCCGACAACTCTCTTATATCCGGGTTACATTGTATGTTTTAAGGAAAAAGTTTTACATAAGTAACCCAAAACAGTACCGGTGCAATGTACCCCCATCGAATCTATGATACGGCCACCCTGCCTCGAATCTATAATACGCTGAATTTCCATAAGGTAGTATTCGTATAAAATACACATTTTATTGTGACGTAATTACGTACAATAATAGATCATATACAATATAGGGGAACAGACTAGAAAAATTAAAAATAAATAAAAAAAATATCTAAATACAAATTAGAGACATGTCATAATATAGATCATTTCATTTTAAATAAATGAACAATGTTTTGTGGCAGTTTTTAACATCAACGTGAATTTTTTTTGTTAAAGGTTGCATGAAAAATAGTGAATTTTATATTGCGTTTATTGAGACAGCATGATCGGATTTGGACGAAAAAATACATAAACGCAAATTCTGCGAAAATCTTTCATTCTTTAATAGCTGTGCTCAATTTAATTTGTAACGTATTTGTAGGTAGAAAAAGCAATTTTTTTTTTTTAAAGAAAGTGAGGGTCACAAAGCACTGCCCGGGGCCTTCAATCAGCTCGTGGTATACGCACCGGCCCTAACACATATATTCAGAATCAGCAACAGATAGCTGAAATTCGTTGGACGAATAATGAGGAAGGAGTTTTTGGAAAACTTAAATCTCACGAAGCATATTTTGAGGACCAGAGAGATAGGGATTAAGCAGCAAAGCCACTGACCTGGCTAGCTTGTGCGAACGGATGGCGAACGCGAGGCGGAGGCAAAGGGAGGACTGCTAATGGTAAGAACCACACGGGATAGGAAGTTGTGGAGAGCCATGATTCCCTGCGTCCTAATGGGAAGAGGCACAAAGAAGAAGAAGAAGAAGAAGAGGGGGGAGGAGGAGGAGAAAGAAGAACCCTTTGTCCAGTACTCTAACCATTATTCTAAACCTGAAAGTACCAGTTCATTCGCACGAACCAACAGTGGCAGGAATCTACAGTCTCTCATAGAAACACGAAAACTGGCTTCGTCGTTTCTTCGATAAAATTCTTTGAACTTCTTTTTAAACTCCTGATAGTATATCTATAATATATAATACTATATTTATATCATATCTCTATAATATATATTTTATAAGATAGATAGATAGATATGAACATGTGAACTGATGTCGCTGTTGTGACATTTTTCTCTGCCCGCTGAGTTCTTGCAAAATTATCTGATGTCGCTGTCGTTGTCTGCCTGGGAGAATATTCTGCGAATAGCAAACTCCACCCACTCCTAAAAAAAGAGAGGGTAAGAAAATAAGCGTAAAAGCAATAGAAGCCCCTATAAAGAATTGCATTTTCCTGTCGCGTCTGGCCGTACAGTTGTGGAAATTTCGGTTTTAATAAAAAAAAATATGTCTGTATCTTAAAGAAATTTCTTTGAAATGGTTCTTGGAATTGAAAGGTTAAAGAGATTATTTATATTCTTTCATGAAAAATACTGGTAAATAAAAAAAAACTAAGAGAAAAATAAGAATTAAAAATAAATTAGTTCAGCTGTCATTCGATCGATGTAAAAATTCGTCTCGTTTAAAATCATGTTTTTTTTTTTCAGTGGGAAAAATACTTAATAAGTTTACCTTCCAAAATACGTTACTAAGAATAAGACATTAAACAAAGAAAAAAGGGAACGGAATGTCATGGCTATAATTAAAATAAAGAACTAACCCTACAAAAAAAAGCAACCGGTACGGGCCTGGACGGGCCAGGACCTTCCATTTCCCCACTTATCCCTCAGTGGTCTATATATACTGCCTCCTAAAAGATTAGTAACACATGATCTGAAGATCGCTTGACACGCGAAACTAACATTCATAATGTAGTGTTGATTTCTAGGTCCAGAAAGCATGCATGCATCTGTGTGTTTGTCTGTCTCCTCTATCTATCTATCTATCTATCTATCTATCTATCTATTAGGGACTGTTCATTCTCTCCTCCTCCTCCTCCTCCTCCTCCTCTCTCTCTCTCTCTCTCTCTCTCTCTATATATATATGAAATGGTATCAAATACGGTTTAGAATCTGACAGAATGATAGGATAATGAACAAATTCGAAATGTTTATAAATTTGACGTACTTTGCTTCTATTTAAGCTTCATAAGAAAAATATGAGATTACTTATTTTTTTTTTTGTTTTATCATTGGTTAGGTAGTCCTCACGTGTATTTGCCTTGTGTATTAGCGTTCGTGTGTATAATTCTTGTGTGTTTTTAAATGATATTTCTAGTTGGACTATACGGGATTTTGCTTGATAATGTATGTGCGTGTGCCTGTGCATTTTATTTCTGTTTTGTAATGTCCGTAGGTTGATTGAACCGCTTTTACTCCGACACAAAACATCTCCCAATCAAAGTTATGAATCCACTTCTTCTCTACACCGTCCTTAGATTCGTATCAGTGAATCATTATTATCTCCTAAAACATCTTACAATCCCCCCAAAACTGGTTTAAAATATCCGGCAAAGGTTGAAGAGCCCTACACACACATTTCTAATGAATTAATTGTTTTATTTTTTTAATGTGATATTTCTTATTAGTCCAAACGTTGTTTTTAGTGGACACCTGTGTTTGAAATAGGCGCCTCATTTTTTTTTTGATTTTAAACAATGGGTATTACATCTACCGGCCTACGCTCTCGAGAAAATAAAAGAAAATGTGTTCGCTGGTATGGTTCGAATATGTGCGCCTTTATATATATATATATATATATATATATATATATATAGATAGATAGATAGATAGATATAGATATAGATATAGATAACGTTTCATCAAATAAATTAAATATCTGTGGAATTTAATCCATTTCCTATTTGTTTACATTAGGATGCAAAACACAGCAGATATGTATATTTTGAGAATCGTGAAGATGTCTCTTCAAAAGCAATATTCGGGTTTTGTTATCCCAGATGTCCTACGTGGCCGATTGGTCTAAGATCGACAGATCTAAAGACGGTTCCCCTTAGGGGGCGCTTGTTCGAATCCTACCGGAAGGAGCACATTTTTCTAAGAAGATTTCATGAATATTCAAGCCAGTAGATATAAATAAATATATAAATATAGTGTTTAATAAGTAAATAAAAAACAGGCCATCTACTCAAATAAGATTATCCATTTAAAAATAAAGTTTAAACAAATAAATTATATATTACTTAAAACGTTGATTTTAGTGGATTTCCATATGTGACTAGACGCCCTGTTTTTTATTTTATTTTATTTATAATAGCCTTTATTTTGTGTACAAGAAGCCGCAATCGAAAAAATAATATGGCCTTTTATCACGTTTTTTCGAATGCGCAGGCCGGTAGACGAAATAAACTATATTAAAAAAACGAAACGTCTACTCAAATACATTTGAAGTAATAAAAATATATAGGATTAAAAAACCCATTAATTCTTCATATATATATATATATATATATATATATATATATATATATATATATATATATCTGTGTGTGTGTGTGTATGCGGAATGTATAATGGCATCAGAAACAAGAGAGGAAATTATGAGACAAAGTAGGAAAGCTTACAAACGACGCGCTTCAGGTCGCAATGTGTAGAGAGAGAGAGAGAGAGAGAGAGAGAGAGAGAGAGAGAGAGAGAGAGAGAGAGAGAGAAAGAAAGAAAGAAAGAGAGAAATAGACGAAAACAGTCAGAAGCCTACGTAATGAGTTTATGTAAATGGTTGATAGAACAGGGACAAATAGGAAATGTAATGAGTGAAATATTACTTATACCAACAAAAAACAGGAAGTTGTGAAGAGCTATGATCACCCACGCCCTGAAATGACAGCGTAAAGCAAAGAAGAATTACCGTTATTAATACTTCCAATATAAAGCTATTTCCCACATGTGTGTTTCGCGTTATATTACTGTCATTTAGTATTGGATATATACTTTTGTCATATGAGATTTTGATATTTTTGGTCATCCATACTATAAGTTTCCTATGAAGAACTTATTTAATTTAATCGAGTTCGCTTCACATTTGAGAAACAAAAACAACAATAGCGTGACATGTTTTCATTGAATTACAAATCTACGGATACTGGCTTATATTAATATATTAAGCAAAGTATTTTTGTAAGTTTCTACTACCTGAAAGTTAGGTAAAAATTTCTGTAATAGAGTTATACTGGTGATGAATTGTATGGTGAATATCCCACCTCCATAAAGGCGCCAAGTATTGCGACAATAACTTGGGAATATGTTTGAAAGATCACCTGAAAACTTTCTGATATCGATACGGAAAGGAGATTCGTTTACTTTTGCACAATTTTCCTTAGGAAAGACATTTAATAATTTTTTTCTCGCCCCAGTTATAAATTAAATAGCAGGTACACCCTTGTGCAAATGCAATGAAACAACTACTTGAGTTTCCTTTCTTTCACCATGCGATCAGTTTTAGATCCACTGAAGTGACAGGTTGTAATCTATTTCTAATTTTTAGTCAGATTAGGTCATTTGCAGTGGTGTTAAGTAATATGAATATATTTTCGGGTGTATGATGAAATTTGTTTGGCCTTGAAAAATATTGCATCATCCCTGATTGCATCAGATTTTTATCACGCCTAGACACTCGACTGTGGATTATTTGTCCTACGACCATTGTCTGCGATGGATGTTACTCCAAAGAAGCGTACGAAAAAAGTAACGCTGCATGAACACACTGGCAAGCCTTACCAGTGAGCAAAGCAAAGTACTATTGGATGGCCTGGAAACTCACCTGATTTAAATCCAATCGAGAATCTGTGGTCAACCTGGAAGGAACGACTTCGTGGAATGGACATACGAAGGACTAACATGTGCACTGGGTCATGTTTCATTGGAAAAATACGAAAGAAAGTAAATAATAACGGACTTATTCGTTTTGTTTCAATTAATTTGCACAAAGATGTAGATAGAGGCCGTTAGCATTGCGTAGTAACCAATCTAGGAAAAGGATATCTCTGAATTTACATCTGTTTATTAGGCAGCGGGAAGCCATTCCATTAAGTTTCACATAAATTCCCCCTTGGATAAACAATATGGTTTCCGTGTTTCCAGCTTTACTGCCGATGTGTTAACGGCTATCACTGAATTTGTCTATCGAGCTTTAAAGAAGAATGGCGAAGCTCGGTTTGTGGCTCTAGATATCTGGAAGGCGTTCGATAGGGTTTGGCATGCCAGCCTTCTCTACAAGCGCAAGGGCTACGGCGTCTCTGGATGAATACTTGGCGTAATCCAACCGTTCCTAACACATCGTGTAATAAAGGTTGTGTTGAACGGACACGCTTCTAATTCTGGCATAAATGCAGGGACCCCCCCGCACACCCACCCACGGCTTTATCCTTGGTCCTAAGTTGTTTCATATCTTCAACCTCCCCGATATCATCATTTCATAACTCTGTATTTATGCTGATGACACAACTATATATTTTTACCTTAGTAGCTAGTTCAAAAGGTTCGACAAAGTAAAACTGGTAATCATTCCTGATAAAGTACCTCCAATCAATGGTTAACTGGTTTAAAGAATAAAACTGTTTTCATTTAATCACTTTGGAGAAACCTTTCTAACAGCCATCAATACGGCTGATGCTAACTTCCAGGAATGCAACTCTGCACCTTCTTGGGCTTACATTTTCCACTGACTTGAAGTGCAGTGATTATATTGAATCAATTGCGAGGTCTACTGCTAGGAAAGTTGGTTTACTGTGTCGTGTCAGAAAATTTCTCTTGTCGGAATTCATCTTGCCCATTTCTAAATATACTATTCATCCATGAAGTGAATATTGCAAACATATCAGGTCTTGTCCTTCAAGTATATATCTCGAGATTCTTGACAAAATACAAAGAAGGATCTGTAATCAATTCTAACTTGGCATCTCAATATCAGTCTATTTCTCAACGACGTGACGTGGCTTCCCTCTGTTTTTCTTAAGATAATTTAATGGTAATTATTCTGATGAGGTTTCCTCCTTGGGGCCTCGACTGGAAGCGTGCTACTAGATTGGATATTAAATCTCACCTTTTTACTCTTGAATTAACTAGATGCAACCGTCAATTCTATTCTCAGAGTTTATTTTCTCGCACTTCCCAACATTGTAACTCCCTTCCGATTACTTGATTTCCTACCAACTACAATCTTCAAACATTTAAATGCAACGTCAATAGTCATCTTGTGTCTTGCTGACCTCTGTTCTTTATTTTTTTATCTGCTGATTTTCCTTCACTAAATCTTCACATTCTCTTTCACTCTTATGATCACCTTGTATCGTAATGGAATTATCGCCTTGTTCGGGTGAAATTAATAAAAACGAACGTGAAAATTCACAGATAATAATCTATGGAAAGCCATCTCCCCCTACGTTTTAAAGGATCGTGTTATTAAACAAAATACCGAACAAAGGAATTTGACGAAACATGTCGGCATTTTTGCCGGTGTGAGTAAATGTTGGATTTTATTATTCACCAATAAATTTTAGTTGGTTGATAGATAACCTGAATGAATATCTTTAAATGTTTTAATCGAAAAGTAATGACCGAAAAGAATATTCGAATGTGATCTATTTGTTAAGGAGAATATGATAAAACATCGCAAACTCATGGTTTTATTTTCAGTGCATGTGTTGACTTACATTCTAATGTTGAATACGTGTACACTTCAACAAACATTTCTATTGCAATACACATTCATCAGACACGCGGATTGTTGATGGTAAATAACTGAGCTGATTCCTTTATGTTCAGTGTCTCTTTAATATGTAAGCGGTCATAGCTATCTACAACCTCCTAGCTTTACAGTTCTAAGCAATGTTCCCCCCCCCTTACTATTTTTCCCAATGCTTGGTATACCATCCATTATGCATGTTACTAACTCTTTTCCCCTTGCCCATCTTGCCTACAATCTGTCTTGTGAGTGTAAAATTTTCCAAGCAATCTTTCCTCTTTGTCGCAGAAATTTCAACTTTTTTTTAAAAATATATTTTCTCCAGAAATCAATTAGACCAAGGGAACGCTAATTGTAATGTTGCAATGAAAAATTCTGTTGTTAAATTTTTTTTACCCTGTCACTTCAAAATGTGTGCATTCCTGCCTCTCCAACAGTTCACATGTTTTATATCTGTAAGCAATGTTTGCCCAATTATTCTCCTTCCCATTCCCTGTTCTACCATCCATTTATGCAAACGCATTAGTTAAGTTACTGTTTCCATCTTCCACCATGTCCTGTGAGTATCCAATTCTCCCAGCCTTCTTTCCTAATCATATATTCCAGATATTTCAACAGTCTCTTTCTGATGTTTTCTTCTTTTCTTTTTGCCGAAGTAAATATTTCTCATCTCCTGTAACATTCTGAGGAAGAAAATGGATCTTTCTTAGCTGTCAGTAGATGGCTACAAATGAATAAAAACCGTTTCTCTGATGACATTTGATGGTGAATCGAAATGCCTTCCGTAGATTTATTTCAAATTTCCTTTAAATTAGATGCCGTCAAAAGATCTTTATCTTTAATGTTTTATCATCCAGAGTGATGCTTATCAGAATAATATTCATGATGCTATATCAAGTATTCATATTATATTTAACCATCAAAATGTTTGCAATAGTAGAAAAAGATTCATTACTTTCACAAAGTCTTCAGTACACTCTTGAGTCGTTGGTTTGAAAATCATAATGAAAAGAATTGAAGTACATGGAAGAAGACAACAATCGCTATTTCTTTGCGTCTTTCAAGCCAAGATACACTCGGTTAAAATAAGAAAAAAAAAATACTTGCACTGTTAATTCGAATCACCTGATCCGGTTGATTTTTCTTCAAGTCAGTGGCAAAAATACCGATTTGTCTATTTATTTATTTTTTTGTATTCGCAATGATATAATCAATAAAAGCGTTTGATCTTTTTTCGATCTTAATTTCCAAACATCAAAGAGCAAACTAAATTCATTATTTTTAGTTCTTAGCTAATTTTTTTCTCAAACGCAATTCAGCGCAGACTGATAATAAACGCCATTAGCATTTGAAGATTTTACGGGTTATTTTACATTTTATTTTAATACTGGGTTGCTATTAAAACATGAATACATCATGAGTTATCTCCCATATTTCTCTGGGATATAATAATTTAGAGTTTCATAATACGTCAGTTTTGGCTTTAAATCACATTCAGTGAATTATTTAATCTCTCAATGAATTTTGTTAAAGATATCTAACCATAGTAAATATCCGTGGAACAATGCTTAACAAGGCAGCTACTCAGAAGATCATGTTTATAGAAAAAAAATAAAATAAAAATCACTGCCTTTTCTTTATACAAATGGCCCTCCCCCATTATAAAGCCTAAGAGGCACTCAAGAGAGAGGGTTACTGCATGGTGTTTTATGAGTGTAAGAGAAAGCAAGAAGTTCAGTTTAAGAGGTTATGTAGGAAAGTTAACGGTTAACCCTAGAGTTGAAGAAGTTAAGATTTTAGTGATCAGGAAAACATCCTCTCGGGAGTCTGTTCCACAAAGCAATAGTTCTTGTGAATAAATCCTAGTGGAATGAGAATAATGTATATCACAGGTTAGACGTATTGCTAGAAAAGGTGAGGAAGATGAATAAGGAAGAGTTGCTTGTGTCGTTCTCATCAAGTCAGATGAGCCTGCTTTCTAAATTTGTTATTTTACTACTGTTCACCAAAT